AAACTTAAAAGAATTGCTCACATATAATTATGTATAATTTTGTATAATTTATTATATTCTTTATTATGTTAATTCTTTTTACATATTATTCTTCATTTATAAATTATGTTTATGTACACAAGTTTATTTATAATTATATATTATCCTTTATAATCCTTCTTTATTAGCCGTTTATAGATTGTTTTTATAGATTGTATTTATAGATTGTAATAATACTATATCCGATGAAAAAGTTTATTAAACATTAAAATTGTCTTGTTTATCGTCCCTGCGCTTTTTAGTGTGCGTGCGTGCGTGCGTGCGTGAATATGTAGGGTATATTTTATTATAGGATATATATATTTTATAATTCTACGTTAGAATATATTCACTGTCGCTACGCTACGCTACGCGTATATAATATTAGTTAAATTACCGACGAGATACTATTAAAGACCGTCAACCCTGGACAAATTTTCGGCGGTATAAAAAGGGCCCCAAGGACCCGGAGGTAATCGAAGAACGCTGACATTATTAAATTCATGATATTTTATTACATAAATGCTCTATAAATAAATATGCATATTTGTAAAGCTATAATATCCTATATATTGCCGAAAAATTACAATTTTTTTCTCTGCAGTTATTATCTCTGTTGATCATTTACCATAATCGAACTTTGACGATAACACTGAAATCACAATTTTAAAGAAAAATCGAATATTATTGAGTTTTAAATGCACGTACACCGATAAACACGTCTACTAAACTAATAAATCATAAAATTAGTACAATATTATCAGTTTTTTTACTCTTAATCACTTCAATATTAACAAGGACGCGAACTCCCATAAGGATGTCGGTCTTTAATAATATCTCGTCGGTGGTTAAACGCTGATGCCGTTTATGTGCTTTGTGAATTTATAAGGACATTTAATTCCGCGTAACAAAAAACGCGGAATGCCTTTGATGTCATTATAATTGAATATAAATATATTTGAATATTTCATAACTTGAATAACCTATAAAGCATAAAATGAATTCGGAATTATAATTTATTATGACTTTACAAAAGCAAAGAATAAATAAAGCAGACATCAGATTGTCATTCATAAAATTAAAAAAATTAATTACTCTTTTTTTACTATGCAAAGAGCACGTATAAAATAAATAAATAATAATAATAATAATAAAAATTTGTAAACAGTGAATGTGAGGCAATATGTTTCAAAGTCCTATAGCCCTATAGTGTCCTGTATGAGTCACGGCTAATATCATCCCTGAGTTCGAGCGTTTTATGTCTCCGCGCACGATCTAAATCCCATGAAACAAAAGGAGTGGGGATGACGATAGGCAAAATCGGTCGAAATGTGCAACTCGGCTGCAGGCCTGCCTTAAAGAGTATAAAGTAACTAGACGAAAACTAATGGTGAAGTGAAACGATGTGATTGGTCAACGCAAGTTACGGTAACGCAAGTTACGCTTACGCAAGTTACGCCGCATATGACGACACCCTAAGATGCTGGGTCTATCTTATATATCTATGCTCTACGGGTATCAAGCGCTGGGTACAAAAAGGGGTCAATGACAGATTTTCTAACCTGGTCGTCGACTTTAACGAATAATATCTCGGTTTGCGGGGCAGAGCGACGCTTTTTCTGCCAGATTCTTTCGTTTCATGCAAAAACGCGTCGAATAATCTCAATTTTATTGATTTTTGGGTTGCGAAAGCTGAACTATAATTACCCTTTATTTATTTTTACGTGAAAACGTATCGAATGAATGTATTTTTATCAAAATTTGAGGTGAAGGGGATATTCTTAATATTTACCAATATCAGCGTATCAAATGCTTAATGTAAACTGGCCAGTTGCAAGCTTCTACAATTATCTCGTTTCGCAGGGAAGACTGCATTTTTCTGCCGGATTCTATCGTTTCGAATGAAAACGCGTCGAATAAGTATATTTTTATCAAGTTTCGCAATCTAAATAATTACCAAATACAGTTGTAGTGTGTTAAAAATATTCAGCTGTGTACATGGATGCATTACAACTAAGAAATGTGCATATCTTTCATATTATACTTACGTTTATTAAGATTTGATTGTTCGCCTAAACTTAACCAATAATTTTACGTTGTGTCTATACAATTTTTTATTATAAATGATATAAGTATATTAATCATGTTAAATGGTAAGTTAATGAGAAATTTGTTTTCAGTAGTTTAAAGACTTTCTTTTGCTGTACAACCAAATATCTGAAATGTGTTTCAAAAAATGTGCAAATACTTTTCTGTCTCGAGAAATTACTCCTGATGAAGTAAGTATTTTTATGAAAGTATATTGAATTGTATAATTGTATTGAACATGAAATCCAATTAATTGAAATTTGTAGGACGTATGCATAAATAATTGTGTACAGAAATACATCTACACTAATCATAAGATAATGGAAATATTCATGGAAGTACAACCTAAAATGGTGCACAAAAGAATGGAGGAGATAAACATGGCTCAAACAGCATTAGAAGCACAAGATCAGCAAATCAAAGTGGAGCAGAATCTACAATAATACATGTTTATCAGTTATATGCAATATATTTTTTAATTTGTCAAATATTTTTTAATTTACTTTGCATCACAAATTACGAAGATCTATTGAAATGTATAAAGCAATAATTTAAAAGTATCTTTATATATATATATATGCAGGATTCCCAAAATTTGCAACTCAAAATAGTATAACGAGAAAAGTATTTCCGGAAAAATAAATAAAAGTCATCGTAAATCTTTTTAAGCAATATTTTCTGAGATATAACGATTTAAATATGGTCAATTACAGACTACGCTTAGGTAATCACCTGTTAGCTAGTGCTCGTACAGCTCCCGAAGTTTTCAGAAATGTCTCAGAAATATTTCAACTAAAAAGTGAGACATTTCACAAAAGTTGCAAAATATGTCTGCAACATTTCTGAAACAGCTCTGGAATAGTAAAATGTCCGCAATTCTTGCACATGAAATGTTGTTGAAAAGTTGCTGAAAGATTACAGATAGAATCTGCGATTTTTTTAAAAATATAACAAAGTTAATACCTTGATCAAAAGGATTACGATCAGCAATATTTTAAAAAGATTTTAGCTATTTCTAATAAGAACAAGAAAGTATAATATACGTATATTTCTGGAATATAACGTATATTAGGTACAGTATAAAGCAGATTAATAAATATTAATAGATATTAAACGCATATTCTTTGTGTGTAACACCCGTTTCGATATGTTTTCATATACCAACTTTATTCGTGAACTAAACGTTAAACTTATACAAATTCAAATATAAGAAACGAATAAATTGTGTTTTATGTAACCCTATATTAGTAAACGTATTTTCTGTCTCACACATCAGGCGTAAATAATTTAAGATTTGTTGGAAGCGCATTTTATTTATGAATTGAAAAATATTTAAAAAATGTTTGGAGAATACGATTACAATTCAGGTATGATCAAATTAATTATGCTAAAACAAACAACTTTTTCTTTTAATAAAATTGCGTTCGATAAAAATATTTGCACTTATTTGTTAACTTCAACCTGCTCTCCTGCAAAAACTATTTATCGGACGCATTTTTGCTAAAGGAAAAAGTTGTTTTTTGTGCTAAAACGAACAACTTTTTCCTGTAGTAAAATTACATTCGATAAATAATTTTTGCATTTACTCGTATAACTTCAACCTGCTCTCCTGCAAAAATTACTTATCAGATGCAATTTTGCAAAAGGAAAATGTTGTTTCTTTTAGCATAAAGTCATGTACTTCGCGGATGCGAATTTTGAAACGCCCTGTATATCTCTGAGTTCGCAACATAAATAATTTTTCTCGGTGATCTATGCTTACAATAAAGTTCAGTTGCAGCGGTTTAATTTGATACCATATTTGTTGGGTCATTTTCAATGTAAAACACAAACAATATTACATAAATTGTCGAAATATTCGGTTAGATTATAATATCCAATAAAAAACTTCGGTTATTTCCGTATTCCCTATTATTAGATATGTGCGGTCCATATGCAAAGCTAGCATCACTTGACTGATGTAAAAGTGATCTTGTCTCACTTTTCAAAAATCTACAATCTTGATTTGTGTGTTTGTGTGTGTGTGTGTGTGTGTGTGTGTCGTAATGATGTGAGTCAGACGCCGAGAGAAAAACGCAAAATTAACTAAGTCATATATAATAAAAGGTAAGCCATGATACGATATATTGGAGAGAACACATGTATCCTCGACGATGTCAGGCGACGTAATATTTAAAAAATTATTTTAGGCTAACTCCGGTATATATGCCGCACCTAACAAAAACTCAATTTATATATATATATATATATATAAAAGTATTATTTGCTATTTTTAAGATAAATGAACTCTATATCAGTAAAAACTTTGTACTGTCTGCTACTATGAAAAAAATATTAGAAATCCGAAATATACTTATTTTTTGTATTAAAAACGAACTTTTTGAAATCCTTGCATTTTTGCCGTATATCTCATAGGAATGCGATATACGACTATTCATAAAGGGAGGGGGAGAATACGTACGGCTCATGAAAAATTTACAAATAATGCTTATGAATAAGACGTAAAATAACACAATAACTCATAAAATAAGTTTACACAGTTTTATTAAGGAATATGAATGATAAATATGTACTATATGAAGTAATAGATAACAATTACAATCTTCCTACATATATTACAAATGCTATTACATGAGGTACATATTTCATGTAATGTATTTATTGCATTTAGTGCACTCAATCCAATCTGCGCACTTTGTATGCTTTGGGCATATACAGGGTGTCCCAAAAAGGTCGGGACACCTAAATATCTCGGGAAATATAAGTTTTACAGAAAAGTGTTTCAGACAAAAGTTATATGGTTTAAAAATATCTATTTACTGATCCTATCAGTTTGACCTTGGGTTGCGTAGCCAAGGTCAGATCAAGGTTACATTGATTTTCTTAAATGGAACACCCTATTTTTGATTCAAGAATCTAATAGTTGATGTCGAAAGCTTTCCAAAACGCTATAATGAAATATTTTTTCATGAAGTACTTTTCAAGTTATAATGCTTCGAAGTTACAGTATCGCCGGCATTAGCATTACCCAAAATATATTTAATTTTGGAGACTGGCCAGTCAAGGCGAGATCGGTCGGTGGTCCGTGAATCTTGACCTTCAGTTAACGCACAAACAAAAACATAACGTAGGTGGTATTACATATCTTGGGTAATGCTAGTTTGGTCAAACTAATAGGATCAGTAAATAGATATTTTTAAACCATATAACTTTTGTCTGAAACACTTTTCTGTAAAACTTATATTTCCCGAGATATTTAGGTGTCCCCGACCTTTTTGGGACACCCTGTATATCTCGCCCGTTAAAAATGCCGTATATCCCAAACAGGTGGGATATACAAGACAACAAATTAAATAAAGAATACAAGAGCAAAGCACTTGTATTTTGTTATACAACATGCTTTACTATTCCTCTACACTTATGTATCACGAAATAACCACTAAGTCTTTTACGCGTCCAACAGTAATCATTTTATGTAGATTATAATTTATGATGACGCTACTTATTATAGTGACAAATCGATTCAACTCACAATAATTTCATTAATACTAACAGTAAAAAACTGATCATAACACAATTGATATAACATAAAGGCATGTAACAGAGTAGTTGCGGGAAAATTATCCCCACTCTTTCTATTTTTTCTGACTTCTGCGATGTAAATCCCAGCGCGGCGTATTCGCAGAAGATACCCTACTAGAACACAAGTGAAGAATCTTATAATGCTATGCCTTTTATTTTATCTTATATGATTTTTAACTTATGAGAAATATTACTTTGCCGTGTTCATCTAGTGGTGCTGAAGCGGATTGTTCCCGGGTGAACAACTTTAATATTAATTTGTTCTGTTTTTATGCTGTATAGGATTATCAAAGCAATTATAAGATGTTTAGAATAATATTATTAAAAAGGTTTTTTTTAATATTCAAATATCACATATATTATTAAGTATTATTTTTAATTGCCTCAGTGGTCGAGCTGGCTAAAACACTCGCCCCGGAAAGTCGAGAGGTCCCAGGTTCGAATCCTGGCTAAGGTAATATTTTTCGCAATAAGTTCTTTACCGGATTAATTTAGGGGGGAATTATTTTCATATATAGGAATGTCCGAATGTTTCGGCTCATCATATTTATATTATTAGCATTTCAGATCGATTGTGGTCAATGTCCGAATGTTTCGGCGCACATCTGAGATAATTAAAATTTAAAAATTAAGAATATATATTGTATTCATAACATCTAATTTTGACCGATCATTGGCGCTCTCTATGTATATTATTTTTAAAATATTTGTATTATATAAGAACATTGACAAAATTCATATAAAATCAATATTTCAAAATATGTATGTTAATGAATATTTCTTAATTACTGGGTACATATCTGTACTTTATCATTTTGTCTAGAAAAGAGATTTCTTGCCTATTACAAGATTATTATTCCACATGAAGATATAAAAGCTGCTAAAGAATCAGATTTTGCAATTTTACTCTTACAACGAATGAGATTATATGCCCCTGTGGTGCAAAGATAATCATTCAACCATATTTTGTCTCATAGAAACAATATTTTACCATGAGACTTTTTTGACTTACGTTTCACGAAGCTGCTAAAGAGCCAGATTTTGCAATTTTGTTCCTCAAAAATAAAACATTATCTATAGTAAATAAGATTAACTGCACCTCAGCTACACTATAGTATAGATCGAGTGAGATATATTAGAATGAATTTTTATTTTGCTTTTTCTAAAAAAAATCATTTTTTTTAAATACAAATATCGCTATTATTTTTCGGTTTTTTAAATATTTATATGTAGCCGTAACTTGGTAGAATAAAAATTCATTTATGGAGATGTCTCCCTAGTCTCTTCTATTATAGAGACCCTTTAATAAGAATTTAGACGTCAATTATGTATCTTGAAATGAGGTGAAAATTACAAAAGCAAATTTATTAGGTATTAGAAGTCTAGGGCAAAGGCTGTGGATGCATTCCATTTCATGCATGATGCACATGATACATTATTTAACCATGTTGTTCACCGAATGTTAAACAAGGATAAATGATGCATTACGCACATTATGCGTGAAACGGAATGCATCCTCTGTATTTAAGGACTCTACTTCCCAGTGAGAAATGACAATAGAATCGATTCCATTATCATTTCTCATAGGATTTGTCCTGTTGTAGAGACCCTCTAATCAGAACAGTGAGCAGCTTTATAATATACTGGAGCCTTTTCTATACTGTACTATAGAAAACTATGGCCCGACATAGAAAAAGAAGGCAAACAATATTGGTCTTTATAACTCTTTTCTATTTACGGCAGTAAAACAACATTAACCAATCAGTGAATCCCTGACAAAAAAAAAACAGTACCAACTTTGCACTAAAGTATCTTTAGTTAGGAATTGAGACACCCTCACTACTCAATGGTTTGCTCCATTATGTTATAGAGCTCACTGAATCAGAGATTGGACATCAGAGTTCCACTTTTGTCCTTCATTTTCTAATAATTTGCATTAGGGCCTTCTTCACCAATCTCCGGTTAAATTAGCTAACGATTAACCGAAAATTGGCGAAAGAGGCCAGTCAGAGCAAAATAGCACATATATTTTTTTTCTCGCACCATTGCTATAGACTTATAAGATAGACGGAGCGTTTGTACGAGAGAAGCTGAAGACAATATTGAAGGACCGAAAGTAAGGAAGGAAAGAGAGTAATGCTTACTCTCAAAGTGTTGTTTCTCTCTCTCATAATGAGAACGATTGGGGACTAATCAGCTGAGTAGCCAAAACTTTCGGCCACTGATTCTTAAACGACTATCTCAGGGTATTTTCTCTAACTTGATCATTTAAAATATCTCCGTTGTTTTTAATAATACGAGAAAATACTAAAGGAAAAAGTTTTATTTGATTCGAAGGGGCACATATTATTTATTATGAGCAAAAATTTTTCTCAAGGTCATACTTTTTGAGACTTCAAGATCACCTCCACTTTTTTAAATGGAATTTAAATGCCCATTGTGTGGGCACGGTATGATACGCATGCATGAGGATAATATGAGCTTGTACGAATTGTTATCTGGGGGTCAATTGTGTATCTCGAAATAAGATGAAAATTACAAAAGTCAGCAAATTCACTAGAATATTCATAATTTAATTGGTCAATATATAGTGAATTTGCTCCCTTTTATAATTTTCACGATACATAATCGAGATACATTTCAAGATACATAATCGACTACCTGATATATCCCAAAACTCTGATTGGACAACTCGTTATTCCCTGTACACCTATTGCCTGTGCTCTTCATTGTGTTTCGGCTTAAGGGTCATGGCACACAAAAAACTTAAGGCAGTAAGACGTAAACAGTAAGCGGCCCCTGGGGGTTTGTGTCTCACTTCGAAACTGTAACCCTCAGGGCGGAAAGGATAGCGGCCTCATTGACAAAAAGACGGTCAGACGGAATTTATAAAATTCTGAAACTTACGGTACATGAAGTGCATCGCCTAATAAGTTAAATTACAAAATTAATCAAAAAAGTTGTATTGGATTTTATTTATCACATATTTCCATTACATTGTAAATGAAATGTGCGTTTTTCATAAAAGATTTATATTAAATATCCGTTGATTACAAAATTTATTAAATAAATTTGATTGATTTTACATAGAAGTAACAAATATTTAAAAAAATGGAAAAAAGTGTCAGCGGAGAATCGAACCAGCGATCCAACGGTTATTAGGCAAGAGCGTTACCCGTTGCGCCACCGGACTCGTTGAAACTTGCTCCCCGTCCAGTGTACATATGAGGGTCGTCTGAAAAGTTTTGAGCCTAACATAGAAACAAGTAATTTTTCGGTCAAATTCAATTTTATTTTTCCACATAGTCTCCTTTTAAATCGATACATTTTTTCCAGCAATACTCCCACCCCTTTAATCCATTCAAATAATACTGAGCGTCTTGTTTTGCAAAATAGGCGTCTACGGATGCGATGACCTCCTCGTTCGATGAAAATTTCTGTCCTCCGAGCCAAACTTTGAGCCTAAGAAAAAAGTCGCTGCGGGCCAGATCTGGTAAATACGGTGGATGG